TATATATATATATATATATATATAAACCTTTATGACTTGATATATATATATCAAGTCATAAAGGTTTTAAAGTGGTAGTAAAAGGAGATATATCTGGTTGTTTTAAGCTATTAATAAATATTTAATTTAAAAGAATTATATATAGTGAAATATAACTCGTTATATGCAAAATATAACTCGAAAACAATTTCGCCATTTACAAATGAAAGATTTTTCAGTAATTTTGAAAAATCTTAGCTACCACTCATATATTTTTTCCAGGTAGTGGGAATCTTGATATATAGATGCATTTATAGATATATACTTGTAAAATTTAGATTTTCTTTTACATTAATATTTCTTAAAAATTATTTATAGGTAAAACCTAAGCATGACCCTTCAATTCAGTTGCCTACATATTTCATAAGAAAACTATTTATAGAAATCGAAACTATAGAATTAGAAAATATAACATGTTTAGTTGATGATTTAACAAAACATTAAACATTTTAAATTCATGGGCTTAAGAAAACATTCATAAGAACTTAAGTATATTTGAAAAAAAAAAGAATTGATGCATTCGTTTTTTTCTAGATATGAAATTTACAAGAAAATCCTAAATAAATAAATCATGTCATATAATTTAGGTGAAAATCTGAGGGTAAAAGATTTTTTATCAAAAAGGAAGGCAATGTATACATTTTGGAATCTATTGCAGGGCGTATATACTCGTCTTGCAAAATAAAAAAAAATAAAAGCTATCAAAACTCGAAATTTTAATATTATATATAATTTGATTGTATGTTTCAATGTTTAATATTGTACATAGCAGAAATATTTTATATTGCGTTCCTCATACGTCAACCACGAAGAGGAGCTTCGATTTACAGAGAAATTGCATAAACAATAAGAGCTCTAAGAGGCACAGACATTGAATATGTCTATCTCACTTTTGCAATGTTTTATTCCTATATTGTATCTTTCAAATTTTATTATTTTTGACAATTTTAGTAACAAGTTTCTGATAACCATCTAAGAAATGAATTGTTAATTTGTAATTAACTAAAAATGTAATTCGTCCTCGTTTTTCGTCAAATTTATAACAGGAACATTTGCCCTGCTTTCGAAATTTATACACGTCATTGCTCGATTTAAATTCCGTACCCTTGGGGAGATTTTTAAAATTAAAAACCGCGCTTAACTGGTTGAATACATTTTGTTTAAGGGTGCATAATTATTTTGATATAAATATATTTTATTTGCCTTTAACTTATCTGCTCCTTGAAATCCTTAAACTGAAATCATGTTGCAAAAAATATACGCCAATACCAATCTACGAGCTGATTTGATAGATTTTTCCCTTCATTGAAATATTAGTTTGCTATCCTTAATGTATCAAATATTTTGTTTCATTTTTAACAAGAATTCTAAAGAAAATATGCAAAAGGCAATCGTTATGGATTAATCTCCGTAGATAATTGTTTCTTCGTTAATTATGCACGTTAAGTGCAGGTGTTCCATAATTACCGTTCTTATTATATATTTTTAAAATCTTTGTCGAATTTCTAGTAAAAAAAAGATTAGTCATCGCTAATCAATATTTTCGTAAAGAGATAAACAAAAATATTATTAAAGTCCAACGACATACAGTAAAACGGAAAGGGAGGCTAAAAGTATCCAAACCTGTTTGATTGCCTATGGAATTGGAAAGGAATTAAAAAATGATTTTTATTAACATTTCCATGCATTATCGGGCAATCAAACTGGTTTTGTTTTATTCTGCTTTTTTCGCTAAAAATTTGACGAAGTTAGAGGATGCATTTCTTTACTCTTTAATTATTAATTTGCATCGCTCGATTAATATTAATTTGCATCTCCCAATTTCTTTTTTTAAATTCCCTTTGAGAAGGCTATTAAAAAGCTCTATATTAAGGCCGGTGAGTATAAGTACCCTGTATATAAAAAAGTAGTTTTTTTTAAAATTTATTTTTATGTCATAAGTTTTTTGATACATAAGTTCATATTCAGTAGCTGGCATAATTGAAAACTC